AGGTATGTACCTGCCAACTGAGGTCTACCATACTGCTGGTTTTGATGGGGTGAACCATTCTCAGAGTTTCTCAGAATTCACAAGGTCCCTTAGGACCACCTCAGTCTCTTCTGGGATCTACCTCTGACCAGACACCTAGGTGCAGGAAGACATCCATTCCCTTTTCCCTCAAATATACTGCCCCAGATAATTTGTGAACACTTACTGCTGTGAAGAGCCCCAGACATAGTACAGTCTAAGGCATGTCTGTCTGATATTGGCTAGTCCAGTGCCATTTCCAGTGAAGCAATGGCTGAGAGTGAAGAGACACTGCTATTCAGAAGACAGTACTCTAGTAAGCATGAGGCAGATGCTCACCTACAGTGGGATCCACACTGACTCATGAGTTGTTGGGGTTTTTTCAGAATATTACATTTTTACAGGTGGTTAGCATTTACTCTCCCCTGTCTCTCTCCCTGACTTGCCTTCTGAAGAAAACATTTAAATTTACTAGAGTTAGTGTTTGTAGGCCCTGAAGATCAAGTGAGACTCCAAAGCATACACCTAATTTCATTCAGTGCAGGAGTTCTAACTCCCACCTTGCAACAAGCTCCATATGGCCAAACCTCTGAACAGGATTCAGGTCATAGGTTTGACTATTTTAATTTTCATTCACATCACAGCATTCCATCAAGTTATGGATACAGCAAAAACCAATTCTAAATGCAGAACATACAGGAGGATCCCAGCTATAGAGACTTCCATAGTTGGGTAGTTCCTGGAACGAATGATAAAAACTGTTAATCTGTAGATATCCAGAGGATGAAGAGGTGATTGGTTACCACCCAACATGCAGTTGTTAAGAACAAATCATACCAAGCCAACCACCTTGTTTTTTTGACAGGGTAACTAGCTGAGTGGATAAGGGGAATGTGGCCGATATAATATACCTGGACACTGGTAAGGCCTTTAATATGATCTCATATAGCATTCTCATAAGAAGTTACAGAAACATAGGCTAGACAAAATTACCATTATGTTGATACATAATTGGTTTAATAACCACAAAGAAAGAGCAACTATTAATTGAACAATGACAGACTGGCAAGAGCTCTCAACTAAGATTCCATAGGGGTTTTTTCTGAGTCCAGTGTTGTTTAACATCATATTAATGACTTGGATGTGAAAATACAGAGTATACTGATCAAATCTTCAGACAACACACAACTTTGGAGGATTAAAATAAAATGGATTAAAATTATTTATTTTAAAATAAAATAAAACTTTGGAGGATTAAAATAAAAATGGATCTTGATAAATTGGAGGAGGGGGAGCTTTAACTAGAGTGGCTCTGAGTGCCACTTTAAAGCTCCCAGAGCATCATATGCATCAGTGTCCCCATTGAACGACCTTTAGTTAAAGCACCCCTGCTACCATTTTTCACCATGGGAATGCTGATGCACATGACACTGGAGTCTGGTGGAGTGTGGTAATTACCATGCTCCAGTAGACTTGATTAATCGAGTCTGCTCAAAGTGCTGTAATTATAGCACGTCAGAGTAGCCTCAATGTACATGTATAGGCAACCCATAGAAACTAACTAGTTCAGAGAGGCATGATCTTTTGTAGGCCATAACTTACCAGGAGCCAATGAAGTAGGTAGGTCTTTGTTTACAAAAGCTCATGCATCTCTGATTTAGTTAGTCTATACGGTGCAAACCTACCCTGCCTTCTGCTTGACTTCAAACTAACACAGCTAAACACTGCAAGGCAATGGATTTTACACTGCAGAAAAGTGAATTTAGATTAAATCCCAGGAACAGTTTCCTAACCATGAAAATAGTAGTCCAGTTGAACATCCTGCCAAAGGTAGCTTTTTCAAGAAAAGTCTTCATTTAGTAATAGCACATCCCTCTTTCATGCAGGACGTTGAACTAGATGATGCTCTTGGCTTTATCCCAACTCTATGATTCTATGATAGGCTTGTTAAAAGTATTTTATATGCTACACTAAGATCTGGTCTTGCTACTGTTTGTCTCTCTCTCTCCCAATTATTGGAAGCAGAGTGGATTTTTTTTTTTTAATGTACAGCAAAAAATGTATAAGCAAAACAATTAAAATTTATGTAATACAGGACATTTGACAAATCTACTAAATAGTACAAGTACTATAGTACAGTTTGTAGAACTGTATTATAATAAGCAACAAGATAGCAAAAACAAGACTACAACCAAAATACCACAGAAAGAGCAAACTGATTTTGTTTATTTCAGCTATTCTTATTTCTACCTAGCTCTAAGTGACTTTTGTTATGAAAATAAACAACAAAGTTCAACAGTTAATAATTGATGCATAGAGACATTTTACAGAATTATTTTCATTTCTTTAGAAAGAAATTAGAGCAAAGAGGATTCTTCCACATTTGGAAAATAAATGGCCTCATCTAGTTGGCAAGTAGCATTTAAAACCAGGGCATTAATTAAATTTGCAACAGATTTTAAATTGCCACATGTATGCCAATCACATGTATGCATGTGATTTATATGCTACCCTTCCCAACAATGGCTCGGAAGGGCTTACCATAAGAGAATAAGATTAACTTATAAAACAGCAGAATGAACAAAATTTCACAGGCAACTACAATATCAACATCAACACAGAATCCCCTTAAACAACAGCAAGGCCTTGCTGTGTTTGCTAAATGCATGCCCAGACAGGAAGGTGTTACATCACTTCTGAAAGACACTTCAGCTCTCACAGGCCTCAAGAGAGAGAGAACTCTAGAGCTGAGGAGCAATTGCTAAGAAAAACCACCCCCGTACTTTGGCAAGTGGACTTGGTGTGTTGATGGTATTTGCATGAGGTTCCTTTCTGATGACATTTGGGATCATAATGGGGCATAAAAAAGGATCTGAGGGGCTTGGAGCATTTCCATTTTCACAGGCCTGCATTATGCATATTGGCATCTACTCTACCCACAAACACAAGGACAGCACACAAACTCTACCCACAAACACAAGGACAGCACACAAACACCAAGAGATTCTCCTTATGGCTGAAAATGAGTGTTTGTGCCCGAAACCTTGCAAAGAACAAATTTTTCAACTATTTAGTTGGTCTAATAAATGATATCACATCTACCCAAAAAACCCTGCCTACATTATATGTTGGTAATGCTGCTTCTCCTTTTTTAAGCAAAATCATTGCAAAAATACAACCCCTAGGATGGATACAGTTATATCTAGAGGTACACAGACATATCAGTCACATCGGATTAGCACCAATAACAGGAAAATTAACATCATTGGCAATAAGCTTTTTTGGCCAATAATGTCACCAATAAATGCCATGTGCCACAGCATACACACAGCCAGGAATACAGCCTGGAAAGCAGCATCCTACCAATAAGTCTGTGTGGGGGGAGAAAAAAGGTATGGGGGTGCAGATTGAGGCCCCCAGGGTGAAGGAGGGAATGGGGCAAGGGCAATGCCCATCCAGGGCAGTAAATGCGACCCCAGGGCAGGGTGTGGGGCAGAGCTGCAGGCGGCTTGTCCAGGGAGTGCAAGAGGATGGGCAGCTCCCTCCCACTGCAAGCACCCCCAGGGGAGGCATGGGGGGCATGTGCCCCCTGGATTTGTGCACAAAGTGAGGGTGGGCTTCCCACTGTGAGCTTGGGGCCAGGGGATATGCCAGCCTCTTCCCAGTGAGGGGGCTGGGCCGGGGCTGCACTTGGGGCAGGGGGGGCTTAGCTGCATGGGGTGGGTGGCGGTGGCACTGGGAGGGATGGCAATTTTGGCGTGGTGATATCCCACAAAATCCCCCCTAGCACTGCCCCTGCTCAGGGCACTTGCTCTGCTGCCTTTCCCTCGGGAACCCTGCACTGGCCATATGTCCCCTGCCCACCTTGCAGTGTGGGGCTCCTAAGGGAAAGACAGCAGAGAGAGTGCCCCAAGCAGGGGTGACACTACAAGGAGGCTTCGGGGGCTATAGCCACCCCAAAAGTACCTGGAGCCCCCCCACAGCCTC